AGGCATCTCACTTTCCACAACCTCTCCATTTGGCTTTTGGTGGACAGGAACACTGTTTATGCCGTGTTTCTTGAGCCCGCTGTCCCCAGGTAGCCGCTGGATTAGCATGCTGAAGCTCGGCACAACTATTTTAATTATGCAGTGCAGTGCTATGCTTCCTGAGATGGCACTGACTGCTAAGACAGCAAAATAGAGAGGAAGCGCGCACAGGAGAGCAAGAGGGAGAGAGAAACTCCCCACACTGGCTGTCGTTCAGTCCCAGAGGAGATCTAACTCAGTTTGTAATTGCTGTTCTGGATAGCTTCTGCCCTCAAAACAATTTTCTGCTGGTCTGTTGTTGCTTAGGCTGAATCAGTTTGATTTATAGAATGTCATTTTTTTCTCCCCAGCCATAGACAAGAGAAAAATATTTGTTGAGAAGCTGTTGCAGAAAGATTTAAGTTTTGCCCATCTAGCATCAGAGAAGCTTGCTCACTTTTTATGTTATTTTTCCCCTTTCCCTGCCTTCCCCTGTCTCGCAGAAGAGAACAGGGATAGATGAACACCATGCTTTGATTAGTCTTTCTGTGTGCTCTGGATCTGTGGTTCACACATGCTGGACACAGGGTAGGAAATGTCTTAAGGGTGTAGCAAATGGAGCAATACACAAGAAGCATCTCAGCATCTCTTTGGTAAAACATGCCAGGCACTACAAAGGGTTTTTTTCTTTTTGAGTTTTTTTGGGGTTGGGGGGTTGTTCCCCACCTCCCCCAGATGATAACAAACACTATGATTGGGGTGTTGGTTTTTTTTTTCTTTATTTTGTTTTGGAGTGCTTCCGCATACAGAAATACACACATGGACATTATATTACATCTTTCAGAATTGCCTTCACGTTTGTTTTATAGCTCTCCTGGCTGCTTATTGCAGGGCGGATGGTGGGGCAGAATGAGACTTTGCTTGCAGAATTTAGCATCTCCTGAACACTGAGTCAGCAATTAATTCAGAAGTTAATTTGCAGTCCTTCCAAAAAATGAATGGATGGTTTGTGAGTACACACAAAAGCACGTGTGTTAATAGGATGCAGCACTGAAATTTCTGATCCCATTTTTTATACAAACCTTAGGCAAACATTCTTAGAAATAAGTGTGACTCTTCCCTGGAGGACCTGAGCTGACATTGATAAAGGATGCTGGGATCCAGCTAAATGTGAGAGAGAAATTATTGACAGCACATGCTTGTTCTGTGTCCTTTTGAGGAGAGCATGTTTCCCCTCTCTGGTTTATTTAATGCCATTCTTGTGGCTGGAATACAGAATTGTCCTTAGAATATCATTAAGGCCAGGGCTATGTCAGAAGTTTTCAATGTGGGTAAATCTTCATCCTGCTAAGTGTGAGAGTGGAAGAGAGAGGAGGGTTACTTATTTGCTGTCTTGACAAATACCTCAGTACTGTTCATCCCAAGGGCAAGTGGGCTGCTGGGATTTATGATTAGTTTCTTCCCATCTCAGTAACAATGCCTGGGTTTTACAACCCAACTTGCTCCCAGATTGGTTTTAAAAAGGTTGAAATTGTGGTCTTGTTAAAATAAAAAAAAAAAAATGGGAAATGTAAATTTCTAGTTTATCTGGACAATTGTATTTCCAACTGTTTCTGTGCTGGAGTTTGAATTTCAGATTTTTTCCAAACTCTCAGCACTTTGCAGTGATGTTATTCATGTATTGGGTCAGGTCGAATTACTCAAATGATCCTGCCATTTTAACCTAGTAGTTTCTGTTAAGAAGTTCCCGGACTAACTTTTCCTAGTGAGAGTTAATCCTCCAGGTCTTTAGGATCCCAAACACTTTGATTTCTCTGGTTTTCTTCTCTGCGTGACTTCTTTATTGGCACTTCTCTGCTTTTCTGGTCATCTTTAGTTACTGCCATTTCTTTTTGCCATCTCTGATTTTACTGATGGCTAGTCTTAATCCTTTGTGTTTCAGCATGGATGACATTAAATCCTGTATACTAATCTGTGCGATGGATTTCTTCTTTGGGGGGGGGGAAGAAAAAAAAAAGAGGATTTAGATGAAACAATTTAAATCTGTCTCCCTCTTGCTGCCGAGCATAGGGAGTGAATTGTTGCCAGACAGGAAAGGCTGCTGTTGATTAAAACCCAAGAAAGCCCAGCCTAGTTAGCTGGCAGGGAGACAGCAGTTGTGGAATGATAGCTGGCTGCTGTACTCCCAGTTTCTGTGGAGTCAAAGGGATTTATGGGGAGCTGTCTTTCACTGTGAATGCCGCATAGCATGCGCAAATGTGGGAAACCAAAGGCAATCTGATTTTGCTAACAAACTCTGAGTCCTGACAAGTTCAGAGGTGCTTCATGATAGAGCTAACCTGGCAAGAAGTAACAGGAACATAGCTCCTAGGTATATTCCATTATGGAAGGTCTTTATTTTGGGTTATTTTTCTTTCTTCTATTTTTTCTTTTGTTTTGCTTACATATATCAGGGACTTTGAAACTTCACATTGCCAGGTTAAATTATTCAACAGCTTCCTTGCTGCAGGTCAGATTGCTTTGTGCTTTACAACTCACCCCTGTTTGTTTTTCCTTAAATACTGTAGTCGCATTTTTTTCCTTCCCAACAGCTCAGTGGCTGGCTTTAACGAATGCATATTTGCTAAACAATGATTTTAAGTGTTGTTACAGTGTTATTAAAAGGTTCTATACTGGGCAGCAGCAGATGGCTGTTTTGTCCCAAGTACCTGGATATAAATGGGAAATCTGAAACGGCCCGGTTCATCAGCAGCACTGAATTTCCTTTCTCATTCTTCCCATCTTGTCATAGTATCTGGGGATCAAGAGGCAGACAGCCCAACTTCTTGTGGTTAAATCAACAGAAGGAGACCCTATAAGAAGTCAATATATCATCTGATCTTTCTTACACCTAATTGCCCACTTGTTTTATTCCAATGGAAATAATTTGGGGGGGGGGGGGGGGGGGGAGGAGCAAGTTGGATTCAATATATTGCAATAACCTCTATCTAACCAAATGGACGTGCAAAAACATGTTCATGAGTTCTAAGCTGCATTCAGTCAAAGTGCTGTAAAAGACGCAGAATAAAATAAAACAGACAGACTGAAGGGTAGAAAGAATTTTGTTTATGTTGTAAGTAACAGAAACCAAAGACTGATGTCAGTGACAATTTAGCCAAGAGAGACAAATAAGTACTCTGGGTTTTTTTAGTATTATTATTTATTTCTTTAATTTTTCTTTAATCATCTTTTACTAAGCAGTTAAATGAGAGCAGAACAACACATTAAAGTTAATTCTCAATTCTTCACATTTTGCTAAACTTTGGCTTTCTCCTTTCAAAGATTTTTACAAAAAAACCAAAAAAACTCCCCCACCCCAAAAAATCACAACTAATTTCTCCTCATTTCCTGGCAATGATTTACTACCACAGTGCTCAAGTGCAATCTCAAGTTACTTAAACTCCATTGCTTTTACAAAATATTCTGCAGTATTTACAAGTTATGAATAATACCATACATAATTAAAGCTTCATTATGCTTGACAAATGAATGAATGAAGTGCATTTTGCAATACATTACCCAGCCTTTGGTTGTTCTTTTTTGTTTTGTTTTGTTTTATTATGAATTCTCACAGCTTTTAAAATTTTTTGTTTCTCCTACTTCTTCAGTTATTCAACAATTTGGTATATTCTAGAATTCACAATGGGACTCCCAGGCTTCATTCCAAATTAATGTGATTCTATTGCATTATATGATTAAATGTTATGCCGTTTAAATTCTCATAACAGACTTCAGTAGAAGGGCATGGATTCGTTTTGTACCATTCTCTAAATTTGCTGGCAGGGAAGCTGAGGTGTTTAAAAGTGGGGTGGAAGCATTTGGACCTTTTGGCATGATGGACTAGAGTTGCAACAGGGCCCAGGCAGATAAATGAATTACTGTGCAATTAGTGTCAGGAGAAGTTTTCAACACTCCAGAAAGCATCCAGTACTGGGTTCCCCAGTAGAAGGATACATGGGCATGCTGTTGGTCAGATAGTCTGTGCAGTTTCCAACCATGGAGATACACAAAACCAAGTGGACATGGCCCTGAGTAACCTTCTTTAATTGACTGCTTTGAGCAGGGATGTTAGACTAAATGCTTTCCAGAGGTTTCCACCAATCTCAGTGTTTCTGTGATGCTGAGATTTTTACATCTTAACAAAGTGCATCCTGTTTGTCTTTTTTTTTGCTCTGCTAATGTTGCCTTACCGGTAGTGCATTCAGCAGTATCTATATTATTATGCCTAGTGTAGCTAAATTAATTCCTTTTATCAGAGCCAATGTCATATGACGTCAACATATGCTCACATTTTCTCTTGTATATGGGGAGTGTTCAGAAATGAGGGAAACAAACTCATTGGAAATTTGCTGTGTTTTAACCGAGAAAATTTCTGTGTTGAATCTAGTTACTTTTTTTTTTTTTCCCAAACACTTGAAAATGTATAAACAAATCCATCCATTGAACAGGTCTTTTCTCATTGCCTTACCAATGAGATTTCAAATTCAGTGAGTTTTTGATCATATCTCCATCAGTTTATGAATAGTATTTTATCAGTTGGATGCTATGCTGAAAGATGGCCTCTTTATGTGTAAGAATCTGCTCTCTGGGATGAATGGCCTGCACCAAAAATAACTTTTTTAGAAAGAAAAGGGTTTGCTTCTGTTGTTTTTATGGGGTTTTTTTCTCTCTTAGTCCTCCACAGTTCTGAAAAGCAACCATATAATCTGATGACTCAACTTGTTTCTTACAGAAAACTTGAGTCAACTGGCTGACTTAGATCCAACTTCTTTAAGGGGATTTTTGATTTACTATGGAAGCAGTACAACTTTTTCTTTTAATTCTACACAGACAAGGTTATCTGGTTTTGGTTTTTTTCTTTGCAAAGCCTGACAGAGGAAGATGCCTTTTTTTGCTTGGATGTTACCCATTCATCATTAATGTTAGAATTTCTGTCTTTGCAGAGTGACATGTTGGATGTGAACCAGATCATTAAAGACCTGGCCTCCATGGTGCATGAGCAAGGAGACGCAATAGGTAGGCTTCACCGATAAAGTATGGGCTTTATTACCCTCCTGCACTGTTCCAATATGATGTTGTGTGTTACCTTATGAGCAGCTGTTTGTTGATGCTGCGATTATTTTTCCTGTGTTTTGTGTATTTTGTACCCGTGATGTTCCGATCTGACAAGCTGCCCAGTGCAATAGGGCTCTTTATATTAAGGATAGTTAGCTGGTATAATTGGCATAAAATAGAAATCTCTGTGAGATTAATCTGTTCCCTTTTGACTGTAAAAAGGAAGCTGCAGAATATATAACATTAACTGGAAACGGATCCAATTCTTCCTTTCTACCTGGAACTGTAATTAAGAAATGATAGTAGTAGCAATTACTGTTATGATTATTGACAGTGGTGGAGAAAATTAAGCTGCTTGCTTCTCCTAAATGGAATTTTCTTTCCACATTGCAGTATGCGTCTGACTAAATGTACAGTATCCCAACAGCATGATGTGCTCACATGCATAGTCTGAAGCTTCTGCCTATTAGTTGACCTCCTCCTGCTCTCCAACTGTCAGTGGCTAGGATTGTGGTGCAGAAACCTTGGGAAAAGAGATAAGAGCAACCCCTAGTATTATCTTTAAGAACAGACCATCACTGACAGTCACCACTTTTTGTGAATGGAGGGACACAGTAGGTCTGCTCCTTTTAAATTTTGTCTGACCCTTGCCTTTGTCACTGCTGTCTTCTGATGCAGCTAAGAACAATCAGACCTTTTTTTTTTTTTTTCCTGTATCTCTCATTTTGTGTTTGTGTGATGATGTTGTGCAGTGCTTTAGAAGAACTGTCTGCTTCCAAACTTGAGAGCTAACTGTCCTAAAGCCACATTGAGGGACCTAAACTCCAGAGAAGCAAGATTTGTGGAGATATTTCTAATCTGCAGTGCTCACTGGAGCTTCTAGGGGTTGGATCAAGTCCTAAGACAGCCATATGCAGATGATAAAAGAAGAAATTCTTCTCTGCTGCTTATTAATCACTCTGGATTTCTTTGCCAAGCTCATACCTTTGCAAGTTTCCGTTAGCATAAGATCTCTCCTTTCACACTGAAATGATCTAGCTGCATCCCACTGAGAAACACCACTCGGGTTCACAGGTGCAGAAAAAAATGAAGACGATATCTAAAACCAACTTTTTTTTTTTTTCAATTTGATTTTATTTATGCTTGTTTGGAAGCTCATTTTTGTACATGGATAACTTTGAAGCCTGATTCATCTCCTAAAAGCACATCAGAAGTTAATGCCTTGAGGGACATGACAACACACATCAGCCAGCTTCAAGATCCTTGTAACTCCTTGTCTTAAGGCAATATTTATTATTTTAAGATGTTACCCATGCATAGAAGCAACCCCAGTATTAACTTGCCTGTGAGAAACAGATAGACCAACTAGGATGTTTTGTCTTTGAGCCAGCATAAGGGTTTTGTTGCTTTTATATCTGACATGTTCTTTCTTCTTCCTGTTCCACTGCAGCAGATGTTTAATAGTTTCTTTAGGACTATCTTTTCAGCCTGTCAGCCAGTCAAGGTATCTTCTCAACCAATCACCGAAAGATCCCACTGTTTATCTTTTGACATTCTTATTACAGAAAAGTAAGTGAGATTACGAATCAGGAGGTAAAGGGACTCGAAACCCCCACAGTGAAAATTCAAAACAATGGGAATGAGAGACAGTTTTCCTGGCACTTGTTTTATTTTTTGAATGCATTCCTCTTACATGCATGAAATGAAAGCTCTGTGTGTGCTTGTTTAGACAACGCAGGGAAAATGCATAACCAAGGAATGAGAGATGAGCCACTCAGCAAAATGCTCCCAGGGCTGTACAGCAAACCACTTTCTGGTTTACCTGAGCAGGGGAGAATTAATGGGAAGAGCTTGTCTGGTCTATGCGTGGCACTAGCAGAGTAACCCGTATTTCTTACAAAAACCTAAAAGTAGTTTTTCTAGTGTGTGGGCCAGTTCCTTAATGAACACATCCATAACACTCCCTAGGGTAGAGAGCAATTTCTGTCATGCAGGGAGGAAATAGATGAGGGGAAATATAGACTTGGGGCAGCATATCTCTGTTATTTTTTTGTCTTCTGCAAATAAGCCCCATGCCTGTGTTCCTAGTCATGACATCCCTTTGATGTGAATATTTAACTAAGTATCAGCGAGTCCCAGCCCTCAAAACCAAAACAAGCTAGTAGCCTAGGTTACCTTGGAATAATCAGAAAGAGTCTTTCCAACACAGTCTTACAGGACCTTTTGGCCAAAGCATCCCTATGCAGCTTCATCACACAGGGTGCTGGTGAGGGGAAAGGATGCAAGGAGGAGGGCGCTAATAGGACAAATCAATAACTTGCTGTGGAATTGGTGTTGTCAGTACACAGGTTTGGGTTCTATAATCATGGGACCCTTTTTACATCTGCTTTGGAGAGATGGGATTCACCTCACTAGGACCCTCATGGCATAACCCCAGCCAGCAATTAAGCCCCACACAGCCACTCACTCACTCCCCCCACAATGGGATGAGGAAGAGAACTGGAAGGATAAAAGTGAGAAAACTCGTGGGTTGAGATAAAGACTGTTCAATAGATAAAAAAAAAGCCGCGCATGCAAGCAAAGCAAAGCAAGGAATTCATTCACCACTTCCCATGGGCAGGCAGGGGTTCAGCCATCTCCAGGAAAGCAGGGCTCCATCACGTGTAAGGGACACCTGAGAAGACAAACACCATCACTCTGAATGTCCCCCTCTTCTTTCTTCTTCCTCCAGCTTATATAGTAAGCATGATGTCATATGGTCTGGAATATGCCTTTGGCCAGTTTGTGTCAGCTGTCCCAGTTATTTCCCGTTCCAGCTTCCCATGCCCCTGGCAGAACTGAGAGCTGAGAAGTCCTTGACCAGTCTAAGCACTACCCATCAACAACTAAAACATTAATGAGTTATCAACATTCTTCTAGTACTAAATCCAATGCACAGCACTATATCAACTACTAGGAAGAAAATGAACTCTGTCTGAACTGAAACCAGGACAGTATGGCAAAACTTTTCTTGCCAAATAGTATGGCTGACCTCAGAAGGAAGGCTTTAAATTAGGAATGATGGGGGAGGGACAGGGTGACCAGCAGTCCTGTGAGGGAACAATGGACAGGACTGCGGAATAGAGGGCATGGGGTAGTGTGACAGGAAGGGTTCACAAAGTCATCATAATGGGGCCTGGGCAGGGTCACCTCTACCACTTGCATGTAGGCAGTGAGTTGCCTACAAGGAACCATTGTGGACAAATACTCCAAACCCTCTCCAGGAACTCAACATGCTGGGGTGCATCTCTAAAGTGCCTTCACACTAATGAACACCGTATGGGGAATGGACATGAGGAGTTAGGGATTTGTGTGCAGTTGCAAGGCTACGATTTTGTTGGGATCATGGAGACTTAGTGGGTTGACTCCCATGAGGAGTGTTGTACTGGAGAGATACAGGCTTTTCAGGGAGGACAGGATAGGAAGATGAGGAAGAAGTGTTGCCCTTTGTATAAGAGAGCAGATGAAGTGCATGGGGCTCTGCCTGAGGATGGATGAGGGGCTGGAGGAGAGTTTATGCATTAGGACTAAAAGGATACACAAAGTGGATGAGGCCCTCTACAGGCAGACAGGAACAGCCTCATGTTTGCAGGCTCTGGTTCTCATGGGGGACTTCAAACACCCCAATATCTCTTGGAAGGACAACACAGCAGGGCACAGGTAATCCAGGAGTGCACTGATGATAACTTTGGGGATCTGATGTACAAATGGAAAAATCCCAAGATGGCTAGAAGAGGAGCATTTCCACTGCCAAACTTTACTCTCATGGTAGCAGGAGGGTTGTTCAGCCAACGCATCCAAGGCAAGGATTGAGGACTAGGTACTGTGAGAAGTAAATTATGTTGGGCATGATTGGTAGAGCAGCAGTCACTCCTTTCCATGCTCATAGATGGTCACTCAACTGAACTATAGGTGCCTCAATAGCTTGAAACGTTCCCAGTGTTTCATACTGAACATTGCTATTTCACATGTGCAAGCCTGTTCTTTCAGTATTTATTTATCCCACCCACAGTTCCATGAAATCAGTTTTATAACTGATGTTAGGGAGAAGAGAATCCTTAAATCCCCAGTTCCTCTGAAGAAAGTGTCAACAATACAGCTGCCATTAGCATTAGGATCTGTTGAAGGCAAGTGCATATTTGTCCACTTCTACAGGCTTCTGTTTGTCTTGTAACTGAGAGTAAAGATGACCTGGATAATATGGTTATTGGGTTTTGTTTTGTTTTTTTCTTTTTTGCCTGTGGCAATAGAAAATGCTGTTCTTTTTTTGTTCTAGAAGAGCTGGTTTTCCATCTTACCAGTGTATGTAACCTGACTAGTTATGCCAAAATAACATGCAAGATCTACATCCCTTATCTAAACTGCTCTAATTCAACTTTCACCATTTATATCACTGTTTGCAGCTCCACCACATTTCTGAAAGCCAGAAGGAAAGACCCACATTGTTCTGAAAACATTTTACACTTTCAAAAGAGTCATGTTCCGTCCTCTGTTGGACCGTTTTAGAACCAACCTTCTGCCAGGGTATCTGTATCCTGCCCAACTCCTTTAAAAGGGGAAGAAATGCCAAGATCACATGCCAGCCACCTATTTGAAGATTAGAGCCACAGAGACATAGCAGCTAATTTACCAGTATTCTACCTCTTTGTCCAGATCAAATGTATAACAAATCTATGTTTGCACAGCAAATCCCCCTTGCTGGAAGAAGATCTCAGTGTGTCAAGCCTTCCTCAGCCTTTCTTTTTCTTCCATTACTTATCCAGGCTTAGATCTGGGTGCTACTAACCTTTCACTTCACTCTCGAAGTATGCGCATTTTATATTTGAAAATAATGGGGTGAAGAAATTTCATAATGTGATCTAAAGTGGGTGCTGCCTTACTTTACAAACATCGCTACGTGGTGTCTGTCAGGCTAGAGCCCA